TGTATTGCTTTCCTGTGTCTGTGAAAGTATCACAAAGTCACTGCAAAATCCTTGGAGATTTCCGAAGAGAAAGAAAACAAATCTTGTGATGCGGTGGTTTGGAAGCTCCTGCTGCTGTTAACGTTGGGTGTGCTTTGGCCGGTTTCCTTTTTTTTTTTTTTATATAAATAAGAATACATATTTCAAAACCAGTGAGGGATTGTGAATGCCTGCCTATTTCCCTGCACAGTGTTTTAGACTCCCCCGCCCCCAACCGGTTTTCTTCTTTTGCTGAAAGAAGGCCCAGGTGACCCCAGCAAGCCTCTGTCCTGGTGCGCGTTGCTGCTGCCGCCGGATCCGCCTTCACACAAGGCACAGAAGGGAGAGAACTTCCTCTAGGAAAGTGTCCTGTCAGCGGCGGACGGAACCGAAATACTGTTATGTCTGTTGTGTGTCTGAGAGGCTCCTCTCCGATCCTTCAGACACCACCTAGAGAGATCTTGCGCGTTCTGTTTGCCCCGGAGATGTCCACTGGGGACAAACCTTGAGTCCATTTCTTCACTTCTCACTGATTTGGGCGCTTAATAATTATCCCTTCTTCTTCTAAACCAGAGAAGACCGATTACATTTCTAACGGTAAGGCACAAAACCAGCCCACTTACAGAATTAGTCTTACGTTAGCACATAGGAGTACAAATCAGCCTCCCTGGGGGTGGATCCATTTGCAGTTTCTTTTAGCGTTTTTGGAGGAAGGCCAGTAGACTTTGGGAAGATCTACTATTCACTGACTTTGAATTAACAAAGTAACATGAACCCTTTGTGGGGTTTATATGGGGTTTTTTTTCTTTTTTTTCTCTTTTCTTTCTTTCTTTTTTTTTTTTTTTGCCTGATTTGGAAAGGATGGTTTTTAATCCACCTATGATTCAGGGTTGTGGCTCTCAGCTTCTAGTGTGCATGAGGACCTTTGAGGAGGAGCCACTCGAGCCTCACCCTTGGAAATTTGGGGTAACAGGCAATCTGGGGCATTTTTTAAAACTCCACAGATGGTCTTGACATGTAATAAAGGACAGGAGTCACCGTAGTGGTAAAGAATCGATATTTGAGCCATTAAAGAGTTAAAAGCCCGGTTGTATTTTCTCAACATGATTTTCCTCCAATCTGAAGCCATGTTAATACATCAACGTATTAGTTTTCTGTAGCATTATTGGCCATTGTCACATTGCTTGGGCTATAAAGTTAATGGAAAGTGATTCTCTAAACATTGTAGTCCTGTGGTCCCTTTTTATAATGTGACCAGTTTTCCATGTTAATATTGCCAGTGTCTTTAGTCTCTTCATCCTTGGGATATCTTTGTTTCTGAAATGCCAAGTTGTCGTTTCCATGTTTTAAAGTCCAAACAGATACAAAATTGGTTCATGTGGCCTGTAACTTCTCAGAGGGCTGTGTGGTTCACAAAGTCCTAGATGGAAATCTCATAGCATCCTTTGTACTCTAAGGTGTTTCTCTGCATACTGGTAGCAGCTAGTGGTTTTTACTTCTGTTGATGAACTGTGGGAGGTACCAGATGGGAGCGCATAAGTCCTGGTAGGCCGTGCGTAGTTCCTGGGCTGGTACTTCAGTCTCGGGAGTGGCTCCACATCCTTGTCAGATCCTGGGTCCCTGGAAGAGAACTACGCTTTCAACCACAGGGTCAAACATGCTTCTAACTCTCCATCTTTTGTAAGGTGTTTCTCAAGTGATGGATTACTAACAATTACAAAGCGACATTTATGAACGACTTCCTGAACCTTGAATCTATTCTAGTTTGTTTTGTCTTTTGGTGTAATAATGTCCCTCTAACTCCGCCCACTTCCTTGAGTGGAGGAAAGGGAAGTAGGTTAGCTGGATTCCTGTCTCCACAGTAGTGCACCAGAGCCTCTGGGAATGTGTTCAGTACGGGACCCTCCTGGATCATGTCTGCTGCTTTGGGAAAACAGGTTGGATTTTTCGTGAAACAGATTCTGGGATGGAGATCTGCTTATGGGCAGTTCAGCAGGTTGGCCTTCCCAAGAAGACCCAAATGGAGGCAAGGGGGACCAGCCTTTGTACCTAGGGATTGATGAGTCACTGAATGAAGGCTCTGGGAGGGGATGTGACCTTGGACAAGGCAGCTTGTTTGACCAGGGGGTAGTGCCTAGGAAGGGACTCCACCGTCAGGCTGAGCTGGTGAGCCATGAGCAGGCAGCATTCTGCCCACGTTGGGGAACAAGTGTTGTGGACCCGGAGGGAGAGAGTGAGAGACCCCTTGCGGCATCTACTATAAGGACCAGTGATAAATACCTTGCCAAAAAGATTTCAAGTGTGCAGCCTGAAACTTCAGCCTTTGATCTCCTGGCCTGTGGGTCTACTTAGGCCTCAAGATGTGGCTCTGTGGTGTTTGTGTTTGCATAATTATAATTCAGTGCTTTGAAGTTAAATAAATTCTCGAGACCCGTCATCACTGGTACATTGACAGCGAGGCCAGCATATTGGTGTGGGGGACACAACACCCCCGACTGGTCATCTGCTCGCTGGTGGCTACATCATCATCTACCACTTACACAAGTGGTATACTCAATAACACCACAAGTTATTGAGGTGTCGGAACGATGGGAGTGTCCGCACAATAGGTCTTTTTCGAGAGAAACTTGCCAAGAGAATCACCCGTTTTCAAAGGCATGGAATGTGGACCTCCTCAGCAGATACTTGTGGAAGGGGAAAACGAGAGCTGGGTGCCACTCCAGGAAAGAAGACGGAAGTATTAATCAGTTACTGCAGGCTTTGCTCTGGTCCTGGGCCGCCTGTGCCCTTCCTGTGTACTGTTTCACTTTATTCTTGTAACTCCCCCGAGTAGGCGCGTTCTCCTTTGGAGACGAGGCTCCGATGCAGTTGGCATAGTCCAGGGTTGGTTGGGTGGCAGAGCCAAGGTTCTCCGTTTGAAGCTCGGTTCTGAAGCTCCATCCCAGAGGTCAGGGTGGTTAGGATCAAGGAGGAAGGCGGCAGGGCTGCGGCTCTGAGAGGGCGGAGGCGCTGATCTCCACGAGGAGAACAGAGGACTGGCTCTCCGAATGGGCGGAAAAGGGGGCAGGTGCCCGCCCCCCGAAGTGTGCTTTTCTGCCCCGGGATAACTCAAAGCAAAGGTGATTCCTCCTGCTTCATCATGGCAGTGTCACATCCAGAAAGCAGTTGATAGTCCCGAAGGGGGGACCGGTGGGAGAAGGCGAGGCCCAGCGTCTCTAACCGTGAGAAGCTAAATAGGAGTTCACGCGGCACGAGTGCGGGCTTCTGTTGGCCTTTGTTCTTCTCGTATGACAACAAGGAGCATCTTTCTTGTTTCTCTACCGAGGAGATAAAGTAGCTCCTTCACCTTATCGTAGTCAAATAGCCCAAGAGAAAGAGGGAACCCCAGGGTCACAAATGACAGGCTGGTGTGTGGCTCTGATCGGCGGGCAGTGGGTGCCCCTCCTCTTCCCCCCCCGGGTTGTGTGAAGGAGTCTCTGGTTCTTTCTGGAGCAAGCGAGAAGGAGCTGCCTCTTCTCCTCACAAGTGAAGCCGATTAGCTATAAGAGGGGACCTGGCCTGACATCAGACTAATGACTTTGCATTATTTTTTTAAGCAGGGACCCCTTTGCCTTCGGATTACACTTGCAGATTTTTTTTCCGTTTTGTTTTTCTAGTTCCCCCTGCATGGCCCACATTTCTCTGCCGCCTTAACATTCTGTACTGTGTGTGCCCACAGAGAACTGTCCACTCCTCTCGTTCCCTCCAGAGATCCTTTTTGGCCCTCGTACTTAGCTCTGCGCTGGCTTTGCAAGTGGAATACATTTCCTTCTTAGGCCTTTGCATTATCTTTTAGCTCTGAGACTCCTAGATGAATGGAAGCATGGTTCCAGAAAAATCTCTACCCTGGATCTTGGTCGGGTCAAAGTCAGTGCTCACATTCCCTTAAAAATGCCGAGACGACTTAAGTTTTCAGGCCACAGCCTTGCGGTGTAGGACTGTTGTATTTGGTGAATTAATGATTTGCTGGCAGCCTAGAAGTCACTGATGTCAGCCAGAGCTTATTAAAAATGAATTTTATTAAGTAGGCTCCATTGAGACCAGCAGCCTGCTTTCCCTGGCTTTGCAGAGATCCATGCAAAGTGGGCTTTCGCAGGTGGGTTTGGGAACAGGCGGAGGGTACACGTCCGCTCGTGGCTTGCTTTCTGTTTCACCCTCCCTTCCTTTGTGCTTCGAGGATCGTCCTGACAGCCTTATCTCTCAAATAAAGCCTGTTACCTCATCCCTAATTGCTTCTCCAAAGGCAGGCGAGCTCTCATTTCTCCACATTAATAAATGACACCGAAGAGCCGCTTTGTTTGCACTGGCTCCCTCAGGTTCACCGGTGCGGCCCCTGAGCTCATCAGGAAACCCCGTGCTTCTCCAGCGGCGGAGGCGAGGCCGTGCTCACCTCCTTCAGGAGCAGCATTGCGTTCGTGTGCGTCCGGCGCCCGTGCCCGGCCTGGTTCTCCTGACCGAGGCCCTTCAGTGACCTACCTAGGTCCGCACTGCTCCGGCTGGGCGTGCCCGCTGCCCTCCAGGATGGGTGCAGTGAGACTTGTCCTGGGGGCACCGGTGGCTCGTCTGATTTCCAAGCCCACCTTCTTGGCTACAGACCACTCAGCTTCCCTTAGAGGCCAAGAGCTTCCCGCAGCCTGTGCACGATCCCCGATCCCCGAGGCGGACCCCCTCTGCCCCAGGCTGCCAGCCGGTGCCCTGGCTTCTCCTTTTTGAAGCCTTTCAGGAAATGGCCTTGTGGATTTTACAAGTGAAAGTGAGGAGGCTGGGTGTGTGGCCATCCGGCTGTGAGTCCCTTCTGTGAGAAGGTGTGGCTCCCCCCCCCCTGCCCCCCCCCCCACCAGACAACAGCGCCTCTCCTTCCCACCTAACAGTATCTCCTGTCACTGGAAGGAGCATTTGCGTACCTCCCGGTCCTAAGCTGCTTTCCCTTTTCTTCTCCCCAGAATGAAATGGACGACGTGCCCTTCTTTGATATCCAACTGCCTTACGAACTGGCAATCAATATATTTCAGTATCTGGACAGGAAAGACCTGGGAAGGTGTGCACAGGTAAGCAGCCATGAAACCGACCTTCGAGATCGACTCCCACGCGTGACAAAAGTATAGGAAGCTCCTGGGTAATGGAAATGGACTTCCCAGAACCGCAGACTGGAAAGAATTAGCGACTCAAGGAGCCACTTTGCTTGAAGGAGAGCAGCCCCGAACTTAGAGGCTGCGCTCCGCATCTCCGGGCGGTGTTGACCTCTTTGTGCCCTTCTGCTCCAGAGCTCTGTTGTTCCTGCCGTCCCAGCTACGGCTGACTGGGGCAGTGTGTGGGTGACCGACGGCGTGGTGCCCGGGCCAGCCTGAGCTGTTCTGTCCTCACTGTTTTTAATGCAAAGATGCCGGCCCTTGGTCACATCAAGCCGGTTGTCAGTCGGGAGCTGAGGGTCAGCCTGGGGACAAAGCCATGAAGTCAGGTTTTAGGCGTAGAGTCCAAGCTTTAAACACTGGACTCCCGCTCAGTGAGGTGCGAGGCACCTGAGAACTGACACCCACTGAGGGAATTGCAAATCCGTGTCCCCGGTCTCCTGCCTGTTGTGGGGCGTATGCCCGTGGGGTGGCATGGTGGCAGACACCGTCCTCGCCACGCTTCACTGTGTACGAGTCACGGGATTTTTTTTTTAATTTTCTTTTTAATGTTTTATTTATTTCTGAGAGAGAGAGAGACCATGTGAGCAGGGGAGGGTCAGAGAGAGAGGGAGACACAGAATCTGAAGCAGGCTCCAGGCTCTGAGCTGTCAGCACGGAGCCCGATGCGGGGCTCGAACCCACGAACTGTGAGATCATGACCTGAGCTGAAGTCGGACGCTTAACCTTAACTGACTGAGCCACCCAGGCGCCCCACAGGGGATCTTGATAAAATGCAAATCCAGACTCAGGAGGCCCGGGGCGGAGCCTGAGATTCTGCATTTCCAACCAGGTGATGCCCGCCTGGCTTTTGCCACACTTCCAGAGGCAAAGGTTTATGCCATTAACTTAGGTCTCTTGACTTCTTTTTGGCAAAGAGTATAACTTCTCATTAGTCAAATGTATGCGTGCTGACCATTCGGCTTTCATGGATAACTGTGTTCCCCAGAAGAAACTAGAATATCCATTGTCCATAACTCCCAAAGAATTAATTTGTCTAATGGTTACCATTTCCTACCCCTGGATTCTGGACTGCATTTTACACAAGCGTCTACACCTTTAAAAGAAAGGGCTCAGTAAAATGGAGTGATACTAAAAATCCAGGGATGCCTGGCAGGCTCAGTTGGAAGAGCATGCAGCACAATCTCGATTGCGGGGTCGTAAGTTCAAGCCCCACATTAGGTGCAGAGATGACTGAAATAAATAACTGAGCTTTAAAAAAATGTTAAAAAAAAAAAAAAGAAAACCGAAAGCACCAAGAATGTGAAGTTAAAAACATGAAGGCAGCTTGCAAGGTGTGAACTGTAGTGACCAGGTATAGACTCTGGGGGTGGCCGTCTCTGGCACTTCAGTGAAGTACAGGGCAGTTTTCAAGTTTCTGCTTTATACTATTTCTTTAGGAAGCAGTTTGCTTAAAAATTTTCTACCTAGATATGAATTTCAAAAAGTTTACAGTATTCCTGACCGTCACGATATTAAGTGGGGGTGTTTGCAACTATCCTTTTTGATGCAGAGCCTGGAATCTTCAGGAAATGATGGGAGAAATTATTACAGGGCTGAAATTCACCAAGCAAAAACGTACTGAAATGTAAACCGTGCTCGGAGCCTATCAACTGCACTAAGCAAGAGTACCTATATTGTCTTCCTCTTTCCCTTGGAAATTGGATTTGTTCTAACTTTACACTTTGGCCCTGTTCCCAAGAGTTGGAAACAAGGGTGTCGCTAAATGAGTCCACCTCCTGGATTTCAGCCTGATGCTGTTAGCCGGAGGCTTGGAACAGGCCCTAATAGCTCGCTGCTTTCCACAAAGTCCGCATTAGACGATAAAATCTTCACTCGTGATAGGGAGCTGCTGTTCAAGGAATCACTTCTTTTAATGTTGCTTTTTGCTCCCCCGCTTTGTAGAGGGCCATGTGGCTTTCACATCTGCTGCTGGTTTTCTCATCCAAAGAGTTTATCGGAGAAAGATAGGATCTGGTGGAAGAAGAGATCCCCCTTTTGGTACAAGGGGGCTGCATTTCAGGATAGATTGGTTAGGCTGGTGTGATGATTCTGCAGGTGTGAACGGTTTAATTTGCAACACAGTGGTCCAATTGTCCACCCGAATTCCCTCTCTGGCCAGTTGGATTTGTTTTTTGTTTCTCGTTTCAATCTCATTTTTGGAGCACATGCAGACAAATAGAGAAGATCCTTAAGCAGAACCCTTCAGGTGGTGCTGGTCTGGTCTATGAAGCCAGGATTTTTTTTTTTTTTTTTTAATAGCGCCCTTTCACGAGGATGGCCACAGACGGCCAATGATGTTTAGAATTGGCTTTGTTTTTTCAAGCATTAAAATACAACCGCAAAGTAATAAAGATGAGTAGCATTTTTATTTGTTTCTTGGGGTGTTTTTATTTGTGAAACCAGGAAAAAGTCCTTCTGTTGAGTGGAACATCCTGCTGTTTTATGATTCGATTTTAGAGGGGGCCTGCTCTGTTTGTCCCTCTCTGTCTCTTTTCTCTTTTAATCAAGCCGCCTTGGGATTTTAGGGAAATTGGGCCAGTTGTAGGGAATTGGCACCACGAACTATATGTGTGCCCTTGGAGAAAACCTGTTTGCTTAGATCTTCATGCCAAGTTGGTAACTGACTAACAGTAAGGAACCCAGATTGGGAAGGACTTTTTGAGATTTAATTATGCCACGAACTGTGCTGGAGAAGTGATTTTTGCCTTGACTTTGTCTCCTTTCTGTGGCCTCTTTTTCTGCATCACAGGCTTTGTGCTTTCAGAAAGAAAGGCCTACTACATTAGTTTGTGATCCTTGTATACCTCTGATGCTGACCTTTCTAGCTCCTTGCCATCCATAACTGTCCCTCAAGGGATTTGATGTCCTTGTGGGAGTGTTCCATGCCGAAATGTCTCGAGAACAGTGTGGCTCTTATTTTTTATTTATTGATTGATTTTTAGAGATTTCCTAGTAAACATATTTATTTATTCATTTTTCTTTTATAGTTTATTGTCAAGTTGGTTTCCATACAACACCCAGTGCTCATCCCCACAAGTGCCCTCCTCCATGCCCATCACCCCCCTTCCCCTCCCCCCACCCCATCAGTCCTCAGTTTGTTCTCAGCATTCAAGAGTCTCTCGTGGTTTGCCTCCCTCCCTCTCCTCAACTATTTTTCCCCTTCCCCTCCCCCATGGTCGTCTGTTAAGTTTCTCCTGTTCCACATATGAGTGCAAACATATGGTATTTGTCCTTCTCTGCCTGACTTATTTCATTTAGCATGACACCCTCAAGTTCCATTCACGTTGTCACAAATGGCCAGATTTCATCCTTTCTCATTGCCATGTAATATTTCATTGTATAGATAAATCACATCTTCTTGATCCATTCATCAGCTGATGGACACTTAGGCTCTTTCCATGTTTTGGCTATTGTTGAGAGTGCTGCTATGAACATTGGGGGTACATGGGCCCCTGTGCAACAGCACTCCTGTATCCCTTGGGTAAATTTCTAGCTGTGCTATTGCTGGGTCATAGGGGAGTTCTGTTGTTTTTTGAGGAACCTCCACACTGTTTTCCAGAGGGGCTGCACCAGCTTACATTCCCACCAGCAGTGTAGGAGGGTGCCCATTTCTCCACATCCTCGCCAGCATCAAGACTCTCCTGATTTGTTCGTTTTAGAACAGTGTGGCTTTTAGTAAGCAAAGTTATGCACTGGGCAATTCATTGAATGGCTTTATCGTTTTGCTACTTATAATTTTATGGGTGTGTATGTGTGTGCCCACAAGATTCCTGGCACTTTAAAAATAATATTTTTTAAATGGGTAACAATTACAAAACTGAGTTCAAAATTACAAAAAGTTTTTTTTTTATGGGAAGAGTAAGTCTCCTGTTATATTACAATATGAATAATTCTGAGGAGTAATGGTTTTAGGATTTACTAACCTTCATTTTTAAAACTTTAAAAAATAGGGGCGCCTGAGTGGCTCAGTCAGTTAAGCGTCCGACTTCAGCTTAGGTCATGATCTCACGGTTCGTGGGTTCGAGCCCCGCGTCGGGCTCTGTGCTGACAGCTAGCTCAGAGCCTGGAGCCTATTTCAGAGTCTGTATCTTCCTCTCTCTCTGACCCTCCCCTGCTCACGCTGTCTCTCTCTCTCTCAGAAATAAATAAAACACTAAAAAAAAATAAAACTTTAAAAAATAATCATAAGTTCATGGGTGGTTGCAAAAGATAGCATGGCGAGGTCTCACATTCTCTCCCCCAGTTTCCTTCTCTGGCAGTGTCTTGTGTGAGGACAGAGTAATATCAAAGCCGGGAACCCAACCTCCGTACAGCCCACAGAGCTTGCTCATATTTTCTCAGTTACGTGTACTCTTGTGAGTGGTTTTGTTCTCTGCAGACTCGTCACAGGTGTGGGTTTGTGTGGGCACGCAGTAAAGGTACACAGCATGATCACAGGGATCTTTTGTGCTCCCTTTCCCGGACTGGCCACCTCTGCCCCCTCCCCATCCGTGACCCCCCCCCCCCCCAACCCTAATCTGTTTTCATCTCTGTAATTTGGTCTTTTTTAAATTTGCATTTTTATCACACTTTATTTATGTGCATTTCCTAAAGTGTAATTTTAGAAATCTAGCCACATAGGTAGTGATGTTGCATTTTTCAAGTAAAAAGTAGAAAAATGTGCATGAAGGAAGCAATAAAGAAAACAAGGGAAGAGATGGAGGTTAACAACTTAACTAAAATTGGCAAGCAAGAAGCAGGCCTTATCAGAATAAATAAATCAGGAGCTAAAGCCCACCATACTAGATTATGATATTTCAAGCTTTTTTTTTTTCTTTTTTCTTTTTTCTTTTTTATTTCTAGGAGAGAGAGAGAGAGAGCGTGAGCAGGGGAGGGTC